GTCCTAGGAAAGGCTTATGCTTAACCCTAAGACTCACAGATATAATCGGGTTTTTAGTCTTAGAAAGACACTATAAAGTGGGCGAGGTTCGCGATTTTTGAAAATAACATTACAGACAACTTTAAATTCTCCATAACATCGCTAACCTCATCCCTCTTATACAAACTATTCGAGACTACATACACACAGAGTACAGTAAGAATTTTCGCATGTGTCTTAACATGAATTCGCTGTTCGCACCCATACCGTTCGATACGGTAGTGATTGCGGTTGCGCACGCTGAAGAGGCGTGGCTAGTAGGTCAAATCGATATGTTTTTGATGGCTCGAGACTAGTTACTGTAGTCTCGATAAGACCAATGTAGTCGTCTCGAAGTGGTTCCGCAGGGCCACGATGGGTATAACAACCAACTAGCTCGGACGATTCCAGACCACCTTCGCAGAGGTTACTAACCTGAAAATCGATGTATCGATCGATTTACGGTTTTCTGTTACTGCACTTTTAGAACTGTTTATGACAGTTCTCATTTTATCTACGAACTTTTTCCTAGGATGAAATAGAACTGTCGTAAACAATGCTTTCTGGTTGAAAAGTTTTCTCACTGCAGTTATTTTTTTATAGGGAATCGATTATTATATAGCGATTGAGTAAATTTGATAAACATTTTTATTTTAAGAACTTCAAGGCGGAAGGTTTCTTAAAGGATTCAATGGCGGGCATTTGATGGTCAAATGCTGCATTCGTAATATCACTGCAGATTTACATTAAGGATTCTAATATTCAAAAATTTAAATATTGGCAAAAAGCAAAGCGAAGCTAATTAACTAGTTTTGATTTCCAAAAATGGGTGTTGAACCTTCAAATTTTTTGATCATCAAGCATAAATCTCAAAGTTACTTTAAATTAATTGATTGTGCTTGTTTACTATAATTTCCTACCTCTTGAGCAATGGATTATCCGCTTATTTTGCAACTTTTTCTGTATTAGTCCCAATAACTTAGAGTAGCTCTCAACAGATAAGAGCTCTATTTTCATGCATCAGTCA